CCCTGCAACGGCATCCGTCCCACCGCCGGGCCCGGCCACCCATTTCGACGACCAGAGGCCTCGCCGCCGCTGCCCGCACCGTGTTCGATGAGGCGCGGCTCGTCGCCCCGTCCGGGCCGGCACGCTACGCTCATCGGCGTGATGGTCGACGCAGCCGACGACACGAGAACCGAAGCCGCCCGCCGCGAGGGTGCCAGTGAGGGCGTTGTGGTCGACGAGGACCCAGCGTGTGGACTCGGGGGTCAGTGTGTCGGCGAGGTCGTCGAGGGTCAGGAGGTCGCAGGGACGCAGGCGGGCACGGGCGAGGGCGGCGGTGAGCTCGGGGCGCAGGGCGAGGTCGGCGCGGGGCAGGTTCGAGAGAGGGATGTGGAGGGTTGGCTGCGCAGGTGTCGTGCTGCGGAGGTAGGCGTAGAGGACGGCCGAGCAGAGGGAGTCGAGGTCTGCGGACTCATTGCCGACGACGAGGGTGAGGGGCGCGTTTGGGCGGCGTGGCGCTGTCAGGGCGGCGCGGGCCTGGGCGAGGAAGGCGGCGAGAGAGGGCCGAGGCATGGTGGCCTGCCCGAGGGATGCTGATGATGAAATTGTTGACTGGGCTCAAGTATCAAGCTTCCAGCATGAAGCATCAAGCATCAAGCATCAAGCATCCAGCATCCAGCATCCAGCGTAAGGTAGGTAGGTACCTGGACGAGGAAGAGGCATCGTTGGTGGGGCTTATCGGAGAGCTTTATCTTAGCTTCGTGGCCCTTGTCGTCTTGGTGCTTGGCTGGTTGAGATGGACAAGGAGCCGCTATCGGCGTGGTCCCTGAATCGCGAGGGGTTCGTCGAGGTTCTGAGTAGAGTATTCGTAGAGCGAGTAAAAGTAAGGTAGACGGAGGAGAGGTCAGCCAGAGGTCCGGCAAGTCCGACCCACCAAGGCACGCCCTTCTCGAGGCAAGACATATACGGCCCATTCTCGGTCTGACTCGGCATCGTCCCTGCCCGTCTTGTACGGCATTCTCACCGCCGGTGGTTCTTGCCACGACTTCTCGTCGCCGCCTCCCTTCTTGACCCTTCTCCATCCTTTCTCCTCCATCCTTTCTCCTCCATCCTTTCTCCTCAAACCCTTCTCCTCTCTCCTCTCTCCTCAGTACTCTCTCCTCCATACTTTCCCTTCAATCCGCCGGGGCTCGTTCACGATCTCTATCAGAAGTTATAACCATCAAAAGTCACATTCCCAAGAACTCGGCCATCTACGACAACTGCACATCCTCGAGGGCCTCACGAAGAACTTCACAGAGCACCAACACATACACAGAACACAGAGACAGGAACGGAAACAGGAACAATGGGCTCCACGCCTTCTCCCATCCGCCTCGCCATCCTCGAGGCAGACACCCCGCTGCCCGAGACCCAGGCCACCTACAAGGGCTACGGCGGCGTCTTCACGGCCCTCCTGCGCACCGCCGCCCTGACGCTGCCGGCGCCCGCACCCCCTCGACTCGCTTGTCGCCATCACGACCCACGACGTCTCAACGACCCGGTCGTCCTACCCGACCCCTATACATTGACGCCATCCTCGTCACAGGCAGCAGACACACGGGCTACGACGACGAGCCCTGGATCCTGGCCCTCGTCGACTACACGCCCGCTGCCTCGCCACGGGCCGCGTCGTGCATCGCGTCTGCTTCGGCCAACAGATCATCGCCCGCGCCCTCGGCGGGCACCGTCCGCACCTCGCCCAAGGGCTGGGAGGTCGCCGTCACTGACGTCACTCTGACCCCCGTCGCCCGCGACCTCTTTGGCCTCGACGTCTTGCGCATCCACCAGATGCACCGTGACGAGGTCGTCGACGTGCCGTCCGGCGCCGAGAGCCTCGCCGCCACCGACACGTGTCCCGTCCAGGGCTATTATGCCAAGGGCCGGTACATTGCCGTCCAAGGCCACCCCGAGTTTACGGGGCCCATTGTCGCCGAGATTCTCGCGAGCAGGCACAAGATGGGCATTTTTGGCGATGACATGTACGCCGAGGCCGTCGAGCGCGCCGGCATCGAGCACGATGGCGTTGCCGTCGGCAGGGGGTTCCTGAATTTCCTGCAGCAGTAGGCGGCATTGGGATGGTGGGCAGATTCGTTCTATTTAATGTTCCCAGACAGCCGTCAGATGCTGGGCGCACGGCAGCACAGCAGAGAGCACAGCAGAGAGCACAGCAGGTAACGGTGACACGGCGTTGAAGGCAGCATAGCTATGGTTACATCGATTGCATTTCGACAGACAGTTTCATCAACTCCATTCTTTACGTCTGAAATGTACGTCTGAAGTCAAGACGCCAGTCTCATAACTGACACATGTCTAGCTCGCGACCTTCTTATTTTGTCCATACCATCTAATGCCACCAGTAACAAACCACCAAATGCGCCGGATGCCATGCTTGACCTCCTCGGGTATCATCCAAAAAGCAGCCCTATCCCTCCATCGACAAAGGAGATCATCATGTCCTCTCTCTCATCTCAAACACATCATCTGCCTGCCTCACTCTTCCATGACTCTCCCCCTCTTCATGATCCTGCCCCTCATGATCCTCCCCCTCCGCTCCCACGTGATCCAGCCACTCCCACCACTCCGTCTCCGTCCTGGGCGACCGCTGTCTCGTCCTCGGTGACCTCTGCCTCGTCCTCCTCTCCGAAGCCTCGATATCCCTCCTCGCCCTCGCGTTCCTGCCATCAAAAAGCATCTCCTCCCTTGTCCGTCCGGGGCCCTCGCCCTGCCTCATCCCCCAGCGAGTCCGCCAACTGCCCCTCCGCCCCCCATCACCATCAACGCCGCGCCCCTCGCCCCTTGTCACAGTCGCCGTGACAGCAACAGTCTGCGCCCTTCCCGCCCCCTGCCTCGCCGTCCCGTGCCCGTGCCGCCATGGCTTCTCCCGCAGCGCGAACAGCACGGCGTCGGCGGCTCCCTGCATGCACAGGCTCACGAGGCTCGCGAGCACGAGCCCAAAGGGCCCCGCGCGCAGCGGCTCGTTCCACCGCAGCACGTGCTGCGCGAACGGCACCGCCACACGAGCATATAGACGAGTGGGTAGACGAATAGTAGGCGCAGCTGCGCCGGATCTTGAGCCGCGCGCGCGCCATGTTGCCCGACGGATCGTTGGCTGTGGCGCCGATGCCGGTGCGGGTGCCGCCGGTGCGCCGGAGCGGGGCTGCCGAGGCGGCGACGGCGAAGAGAAAGGGCGACGGGGAGGGCGTTGAAGAGACAGCTGTCGAGGAGGACCCGGTGTGCGGGTGTCGGTATGGCCGCCCGCTGGGGCTGGAGAGCGACGAGGGCGACTGGTCACTTGTTTTGCCGAGGCTTGGCGGCAGCGAGTGTCGCGCCGTTGTCGGGTCGGAGGTGCGGGCTGGTGGAGGGGATGCGATGGCCTGGTAGGATACTCGATTGTCCGCTTGTTGTGGGAAGTGGACGGCTTCGACGTAGGCATCGTGTTGCGTCGTGTATTGTTCTTGGTGTTGGATTGCCTCCCGCAGATGTCGCTGTTGCTGCCGCTGCTGCCGCTGCTGCTGCTGCTGCTGTGTCTCCATCGACGCGACTGCCTCGCCCCCGAACAGAGGCCACTTCCACCGGATACCGTGCGCCGTGTGATGCGAGTCGACACGCAACCGGCCGGCCAAAGGACGCCGCAGCGGCTCGCCGCCGGGAGCCTCGCTCGAAACGGACCCGTGGCGCTGCCGCTCCTCCTCGGAGCACGAGTGGTGCGAGTCGGACGTCGACGGGATGAGTCCGTGGTAGGCGATCGGCGGCGTCGGCGGGACAGAACCGTTGCGCGTGTCGGCCTGGTTGTTGCTCACATTGCTCGGGCTGCTCGTCGTCTGGTCGCTGCTGACGGGCGGCGGCGGGCGGCGCGTTGCTGTGCCGTCGCATCTTGCTCTCCTCGCCGAAGCGGTGCATGAGCACCGACACGTAAATGTACGTGCAAAAGTACGACACGAAGATGATGAGCAGGATGATGTACCGCGGAATCCAGCTCAGCGCGAGCCGCGCCCAGAGCGGCCGGATTGGCAGGTAGCAGTACTGCCCGTTGTTGACGTACGCCGGCGTGTTGATGAAGGCAAGGGACGCCAGGACGACCGGCAGGATGAACACGACGGCGTAGGCTGTGCGGCGGTACGGATACAGCCCGCTCTGGCCGTTGAGCTGCCGCGGCTTAAAAATGTAGAGGGCTGTGTGGATGGCGATGAGTGCCACGGCTATGTCTGACGCCTCGATGCCGACGGCTAGGAAGAAGCCGCTCATCTGGCAAATTTATCTATTCTGACTGGATCGGCCCCATGGCAAAATCGACAATGGGAAATATCATGAAGAAGAGGGCCTCGAGGCCGTCGCTGACAATGAGGAGCATAATGAGGCTGCACGTGTTAGTTAGTTGATTCTTGTCCTTCACACCCAGAAAGGGTCGGCAGAAAGAACATACTCATGACGGAAGCTCCTGCGCATGCGGAAGAACCAATATGTGACGAGCACAATGAGTGACAGAGTAAAAAGCGAGAGAGACAGGGAAACGCATCGCAAGATGTAAATCTGCTGGTCAGATAGCCCCACTGGGGATCTCGCTGTACTGCAACACCTCGCGGTTGTCCAAAACGGAGTCTCCAGCGCCTTCCGTGTCCAAGAATGAGCCCAGCACGGGACCCAGACCACCAGATGTGGGTGGCATGACAACAGACCAATACTCAAGCCTTGATGGTGATGCCGTCGGTGAAGCATACAAGCAGCTCGAGACGTAGAACGAAGATGGGGATGGGGAAGGTGTTTTTTCAGAAATCGACCGACATGGCGAGCCTTTTCGTTAGGATATTGTTGGGCGTGATTCGATGAGCTGCGCGCAAACACCGAATGGAATTGTGCTGGTTGTACTGGAGCTTGTCCTTATCCCTGCGTCGCCGGCCAGGAAGTTAGGCCCGCAATGACAACCTCGATGTTTGATAAACCGCGTGTCAGTTGTCCTTTGTCCAATACTCTTTTCCAACGTCCAAGAGGCAGAATACGTCATGGGCACTGGATATCGAGGGCAGCAGGTGCCCCTTGCACTACTCGTCAATACGTATCCGGTAGTTGAAGGAGGTATATGCGCGGTGGTCCTGCGCGCGCGCCGAGCCTTGCGTTCGTGACAGTCCTTTCCAGTGGAGTCTTATTCCCGTGCTTGATGGCGAGGATGGACAGCTGCAGGTAGACTCAAGGGCGTGTGTGGTCCAGTCGGTTCTCCGGTCGAGGTTCCGGAGGAGAAGAGTGCGAGAGCGCAAGTGGGAGGCAGCGTCAAGTCAATCACCTGGTTGAAAGATCGTCGAGGTTGCTCTCGCCACCTTGTTTTTCGAAGCCGACTTTGACAAAGGGCCCTTATCAGTGAGCCCCCCCGGATCAAGCTCCGAGCTGGGGGGGTTTCTGGCAAAAAAAGGCAAAATCCAGGAAAAAAACCAGAAGTCACATCCAATCACCCCCTGTAGGGGAGGGGGAGAAGAAACCTGTAAATATCAGAACGTGCGGATGGGCGAGTCTTCTGCAGACTTCCGAAAGCCATGACAACACCGATTACAGCCACGCGCCAACGAACGACCTACCGTCGGACAGCCAAAGCTTATGAAGAGAAGAGACACGCAAGGCCGATCTCTGCAGGGTAGACAAGACTCGGACACAGGGCACCCCCCAATACGGACTGGCCGTCGTTTTACAAAGGCATCGGCAGGCATCGGCAGACATAACAGAGGGAAAAATTTCAACAGCTTGCATACGTTTAGGGCAGGACCAGGTTCAGGAACCAAGGCATGGCAAAGAGACAACAGGGGGGGGGGGCGAGCCGTCCACCACACAGAGAGACTTTGGGCCGGATCGAGGAGGACGACGCGCGAGCGGCAGACGGGTATCCAATAGCCGCTGGCCGGACTGGCGGGTTCAACGCAGGAAGCATGGAGTCCGCGTGCCTCCGAGTCGTGGAGGCAGACCACGTTGGGACTTGCTGGGAAGATGACTCGGCAAGGGAGGCCGTGGGACACGGAAAGACATTGGCTCAGGCTGTCCCGTACCATGCGGGGCCCAGGATGTCTCGGGGGACACGACGGCGTAGGCCTGGGATGTGCCAGAAAGGGCCACACTGAAGAGGTTGGAGGCGCCTGGGGTGCAAAGCTTGGTATTGACCGTGGGCCCGGGAAAATGGGGGCTCAAGGTGCGGGATGACGAACGGCGGCTGTCCTAGTGTAAGAGGCTTTGCCCACCGACCCATGCTGTGCTTGTCTCGATCTTGTCTGCCGCCATGCTCTCCTCGTCGTGTGTGCTGCAGAACGGAACAGCGAGAGAGGCAGTGCACGGCGGCGTGTGATGTGATCAAGCCCACCATAAGTAGTCTATGGAGGCCCAGGAGGGTTAGAACCACGTCTGTTTATCATTGATCGTGTCGCTGAAGCGGCTTCAAGATGGAATTAGGCCGGCCACCTTGTTCCGTTGATCCCGCCCGCTTTCGCTGGCTGGCAAGCAGCATGTTCCCTGGGCAGCTCGGACGATGACCAGAGCGAAACGGAAGTGATCGCTCCAGTGTTGCGTTGCTCGCCAGCCCGGTGTGGATTGTTCGAATAGCGGTAGCACTGAGCGAACGCCTGGCCATAAAATGTGCAGTACATGTTTCTGCACATGAACCTTCGTCAGCAGATCAATCTGCCAGTCAACGGCATCGATTCTGTTATAGGACGTCACGCGAGTGAACGAGAGGAGCCAGCTCATCGTACAGCGAGTGAGCTGTGCACCTCCAAGCCTTCAAAATTCAATAATGGCTCGTCACATGGCCTATTTTCGCTTGAGCTCACTGTAGCGGTGAAGGCACAAAAATGGGGGAGCGCCAAACATCACTGCATTCTTCTGGATAGCTGTGCGCGCGCACGCCCGCCAAACTAGATCACCACCGGCAAAAATGCGCACCGATCCAAACGATCCCGATTGATTAGCGCTCTTCCTTTAAGTGGTACCCTAGGTTTGGCGCCAGCTACTACATGGCACACCAAGAAGGGAGACTGAGCACCGACCCCGCCAACTGTTGCTCGCCCATCCCCAGCTTTCAACCAAGTGTCCCTTCTAGCGGCCTTGAGCTTGAACTGCTAATGGGCTTCAGCGGTCGCATGCTGTATGGAGTATGCAGAAAGCTAAACGCCACAGGATGGGGGTTCACTGACTGGCGTCACTGAGGAGGAGTCCGATCGGCGTCGCATCGAGTACTGTGCGGCACGTAGGTTCCTCAGTATTCGACCATCGAATTGTACCCTAGCTTGGTGGAGTTGACACTGTCAAAGCAATCTGCCACTGCCCGGTCTCGCTCTCCTGGCTGCTTGGTTTCTTGGCAGGTTGGGAGTGGATTGTCATGACACATGTGAGATGAGCACTCGGTCCTCTCTGTGAGGAAACTACCGGGACGCAAAATATGAAGATAACGTAACAAGGGACCAGCAGTTTGACCCCAATGAAACGGGAGCAAACGCGAGGCCAATCATGCCTGTACGTGTGGACGAGGATGAGCGATGCATCTGATGACATTAACTTTGGCACTACCCTGCGATCTTCGGACCCGAATCTGGCTCCGTGCATCCCCTGGATCTCGGCTTCGTTGAAGCTTCAACATGGGCCCTAAGTACTCGCCTTACCCTCCCGAGATCCACGGCTGTCGTAGTGTGTCGTCGCAGATGCCGTACAGCAGGTCATACATCACAAAGAGGTTTCGATTGCGCTGGCTTGCATCATCATAGCATCAGTATCATCGACGAGCCGGTATCCCCGGGCCCGCTACCTTTGGTATCTAACAAAACACGACAACAGATTGTACATGGAAGGTCAAGTCCAACGCCCTGCGCCGCTGCACTTCTCCGCGTTCTTCAAAAGAGACACTCGCAGACAGTCCACACACAAACACACATACCCAGAACAGCATGACAAACTCGCCACTAAGTCTCTTGTTCTTCAAAAAACTCAATGGTCATGGCTGCGAGGAAGCCCGGAATGCAGCCCTTGGTGTGCACCCAGTACTTGATGTGGTTGCTGATCTTTGCTGCGAACGCGCTTCTGGGCCCGCCGCTGACCTTCATTGTGCCCTTTTCACCGTCAAAGACAATCGAGTTCTCGTGCTCGTCCGTCTTTGAAGGATAGTACTGAGATTCGACACGCATCTTGCCGTTCGGCATAAAAGTGACTGTCCAGCCCATGGTGGAGAAGACGGCCTCCTTGAACTCTTGAGACTTGTTGCCCCAGACTTCCTTCAGTCGCCTGCTGAGCTTCTGTGCGCTCGCCGTCTCGGCCTTGGCCTCGTCGACGAGACGTTGTGCTGCCGCCAGCTGAGACGCAGGTACTGTCGGGAAAGACCCAGATTTAGCTCGCGACTGCATGTGAGCCAGCAGCTCGGCGTTTTCCGTCTGCAGGGCCTTAAGCGTCGAGAGCTTGATGGCTTCGTAGTCAGATGTGGGGTTGGATCGCAGCGATAGAACGCGTGTTTTCGACGACTTTTTAGCTGCCTTCAGCTGCTCCTGTGCTACCGACAGCTCCTTCACCGTGAGCGCGTGTTGTGACTGCAGGGCCGAGAACTCGTCTTGCAGTTTGCGCTTCTTGCGTGTAAGTTCTGCCAGCTGCGCCGAAAGCCCGGCGTCGTTCTTGTCCGTCCCGTCGTCGACTCTGGGTCGCTTATTCCCAGTTGTAGGCTGCGTGGTTTCGAGGGACGCCATCTCGGCTGCCAGAGCTTGTGTTTCCGACTTGTACTGATCAATCAACTCCTCGAGCTCCTTGATCCGCCTGGCTTTACCCTCATCATAGTTCTCCGGCTGGAGGTCTTCTGTGTCAAACAGCGCCAACTGTGCACGCAAATTCTCGACTTCCTTGACAGCTAGCGCTCGTTGACGCTCTGCCCTCATGCGCGCTTTGTCGGTATTTGAAGCACTGACGCTGGCCTTGGCGTTCTGCACTTCGCCCTTGAGGCGCGTTACCTCGGCCTCCAGTGATTTGATACTGCTGTCCTGCGCAGACAATTCGGCTTGCAGGCCACCAATCTTGTCCATGTGTGACGCGATCGTGTACCGCTCAGCAATGAGAGCTCGGGCCAGGGCTTCAGGGGAGTCGAATTCGAGGTCCTCACCCGATGCGGTCGTGCTCTTGAGGTACGCAGTCCAGGCCAGCCTTTCGTCTTCGAGACGTTGACGCTGAATCTGGGCTTCCGAGAGCTCAACCTCGAGAGCCTGGGCAGCCTCAAGCTTGCGGAGCAAAGAACGCTTCTCTTCCTCCACAACCTCTGTAGCCCGGTGAACTTGTCGCAAGTGCTTGAGTTCACTCAAGTTCTCCCGATTCGTAGACTCGAGGTTCCGAATATGCGCGACTTGCTCAGACAACTCTTGTTTGATGATGGCCATTGTGTCGGCATCTCCGGTCTGCGCCTTCAGACGCAGCACCTCAGACTCCAACTCGCCAATGTGGGTGTCCTTGTCTGCCAACTGCACCTGCACCTGCTGCAACACCGTTTCGCGAGCCTGGCTCTCCTGCTCCAGCTCTTGCACAGACTTTTGAGCGGCTTGGAGCTGCATTTCGAGATCGATCGTTTTTTTCTCGTTTATCCGAGCGGCTTCATCTTTGGCGTTGGAAAGGTCCTCGAGCTGCTCCTGTACCAGACGAGCCTCCTCTTCAGCATCGCGCGCCCTTTTCTCCCAGGTCGACTTTTCTTGGTTGGAGGACTCTCGAATATCAGCAAGCTCTTTCTGCGCCGACTCTAGTTGGCGCAGCGCTTGCGACTTCTCCGTCTCGGCGGTCTGTTTCGCGGTGAAATCAGCTTGGGCGCGTCGGCGCTGGTCTTCAATGTCGGCATTGTGTCGAGCTTCGGCCATCTGCTTCTCTTGCTCGAATGTCTCTATCGTGTAACGGAGGCCGCTAAGCTCCGCCTTGAGCTCCTCGATGACATGGCGTTGAGACTCGTATTGCTCCGCGTCGGGTGGGGCGAGATTTTCCTTTGAGCTCTCCCGCGAAACGGCGCGCAGCGACTCGCCAGTGGCACTTTGACGAGAAGATGGTCTACTGGCAGCATTGTCGGCACCTGTCAAGAGGTTGTATGTCGGCTGGGTTTGGGTTGCGCGGAAAGTCTGCGGCCAAGCGTCAACGCAGTTGCCCCGGGCGGCCATGGGGGTTTGTTTTGATGCAGCTACTTACGCGCGATCCTCGCAAGGACGTATGTGGTCGTGGGATGCTGGCAGGACCAGCGCTGCGGTTCAATCGTCCGGAAAGAGATGTGCGCCTGGGCGGCTCGCCGGATGGAGTATGCGACCTCATCTCGGCGCTGCGAAGCTCAACGGGGCGATTCAGCGACCGACGATGTTGTTTGTTTCGTTTGTTGATTGACCAGATCTGCGCCGCTGATGGTGATAAGGTCACGTGCGGCGGTGGGGTGCATGGGCTGCTTGGGAGCTTGCCTGCTGTGACAGGGATACTGCTTGTATCCTCGTCCATTTCAACTGAGAGCCTGTTGAAAATGATGAATCGAATCGATGCCTGGAGACTGTTAAGTCGCTGCTTATAACCCAATCGCGAGGACACAGAGAGAGAAGATGCTTCCGGTAGTCTGGAGACCGCTAAGATGTATGAAGGTGTCTTTGTTTGCTGGTCTTATGGAAGGTATTGGGTACGACAATTGATCTAGGCAGTCACCGTATGCCTGCCTTCAGGACTCAGCTGACTTGATGAACTCCAACGGCCCAGCACCAACTACCAAGACGAAGAAAGCCCCAGAACCGTGAAGCCTGCCTGTACCGAAAAAGAGTCTGATTTCAGTGATGAGTCCAATACACACGGCTACCCGAAGTACCTTGCCTATCAGCTTGAATAAGCTAGATGGACAGAAATTCTTCCAAGGATTTTAGAATTGGGATGCTGCCATTCACTAACTAGATCTCTTTTTCGCTTCCCGGACGAAGGCCGCCTTGACTCGCTGAAGCCCAGTACAAGGCTTGAGCATGGCCTTCGGCTTCCCTGTCCGAGCTTCAGGCTGGCCGTTTAACCCAGATGACCAACAAAATACCTGCTTCGCCACGCGGGCACTCCCTCCGCTCATGGTCCCCCTTCTCAGGCAGCCGAGAAGCCCCTCATTCCTCATACCTCGCCACTGTCAACAGCACCAAAGGGTCAACTCGGGAGGTGCATCGCCAAGACCACAGGTCGCTGGAGATGGACGACGTGGTGCCTGACCACAGAAGCGGCCGTCAGATGAACCCTGCACAATGACGTGCCAGCAGATCCCCGCGTATGGTTTGAGCTTGTTCCTGTCTTGGCAAAGCACAGCACAGAATATGCTCCGTGCACTGGCCATTTGCTGCTTCCCCAAACAGGTGAGCTCGTAGCAATCACAGATTTTCCTTCAAGCCAAGATCCTACAACACCTCTTGAATCTCAACCCGGTGCCCTACACACAGCCGTCATCTTGCTGCCGAAGGAGCTGGCTGCGGATCAATTGCAAAATCTGCAGCTCCAGCCCGTGTCTCGACTGCTCGACCCGGCCATTCCGCTCATTGACGCCAACCGACGATCCAGTCTCCAATTACCCATTTCGACCGTCCTGTACAACCTGCACATGGATTCCTTCAGCGAATGATCTCTCGCAGCTGCTAGAGCTGGCGACCGCATCTCCAGCCGACATACAACCTCCGAGTGTACGAATTTCCCATTTCCAAGTTTCGACAGACGCCAGACTACACCAAGAGCGTACATACGCCGCGTCCCGTAATCACGAAGACTTTCGATCCCACCCAACAACACTCAAGCTCAACGATTTGACAGGAGACCGGCGCCATGGCTACACCACTTACTCAAAACCGGCTGGCTCGGATAGCCTGGCCGTCGACCTCGCAACCTCTGAGTTTGATGCGATCTTTGCGCCGCCAACGTGTCTCTGCTTTCTCCTACAGTAGACTGTACTCGGAACAGACTTCACCGAATACCAAGGCTGGGCAGACAAAGGCTAAGGATGGTTCGCACATTGGGGAGAAGCAGCAGGCCGAAACGAAAGCACCTACATACGTTCACAGAGGTTCAGCCATCAACTTTGCGATCGGCGATAAGTATCGCATCAGGGAGCCCCGCGATGGACCTCCCTTGTCGGCAGAGAACTGGGAGGACCATCCGGACGCCAGGCTCGAAGAGTTTGACGAGCTTCCTTACGAGCTCTTCGGCACCAATCAACACATTGAGTTCCACGCCGAATTCAAAAAGGAGCTCACTCGACTGCTCCGATCTTACCGAGCTCCCATCATGTATGCGTTCGCCTACGGATCCGGAATTTTCCCGCAAGCCAAACCGAATCGCCACGTTAGCGATGAGGAATATCGCAACGTTCATCCCAAGCCGTCCCAGGCATTGAAGGAGGTGCAGGCCTCTGGACCCAAGTCTATTGATCTCATCTTCGGTGTGACCCACACGCAGCACTGGCACAGTCTCAACATGCGACAGCATCCCGAGCACTATTCTTCACTTGCCAAGTTTGGATCTGGTCTCGTGTCCACGACACAGGAGCGTTGGGGCGCTGGCGTCTACTTCAACCCGTATGTCATCCAGAACGGTGTGCAGATTAAATACGGCGTCACCTCGATCGACAATCTTTGCACTGATCTTTCTTCGTGGAATAATCTCTACCTGGCAGGCCGTCTTCAGAAGCCGGTTAAGATCCTGCGTGACCACCCTCGAGTCCGCCTTGCTAACCAGGCGAACTTGATCTCGGCTGTCCGGACTGCATTACTGCTTCTCCCACCACAGTTTACCGAGAATGAGCTCTACTCCACCATCGCTGGCCTTTCTTACCTTGGCGACCCACGTATGGCACTTCCGACAGAGTCTCCGAGCAAGGTCACAGACATTGTCACCCACAATATGACCTCGTTCCGGAAACTGTATGGTCCGCTATTGGCTACTCTGCCCAACGTCGACTTTACTGCGACAACACCCGACAATGCCGATCCCGACGCCAACGCAAAGTTGTCTCAGGACATGGACCCGACGAAGCGTGCCAACATGGTACGGCGCCTGCCTTCCACCTTCCGCTCCCGCCTTTACTTCCAGTACCAGAAGAAGTTCATGATGCCTCGCGGGGAGTTTCGCGCCCTGATGGAGGCTTCCAAGGACGAGGGCGAGGAGTCGTTCAAGCGCCGCACGGGCGGCGGTTTTGAGCGCCGTATCGTCCAGGACGACCCGGCAGAGCTGCAAGAGATCATCCGCAAGGTCATCCGCCAGACGGTCAACTGGCCCGCCACGGCGCAGACCATCAAGGGCTTCTTCACAGCGGGCGTCCGACGATCCTTGCGGTACGTGTACGAGAAGTGGACCAAGTTCCGCGCGGGCAAGGCAAAATTGGCAGCAAAGAAGCAAGAAGAAGCGGCGCTGAAGCAGGAGACCTCGAAGCAGGAGACTGCAAAGAAGGAAATCAAGGTGGAAGTGAGGGAGAAGACAAAACAAGAGTAGAAAAACACGCCTGGCATTTGAGTGTTTATCATATCCATCTTGGTCAGGGCGTTGGCTGTACATAGCCCGATGGCATAGCATTGGTTCGTGAGGATAGATCTGGGGGTCCCCCATGTGAGAACGGGCGGGTTTGTGGTTTGCTTTGCAGGCGTTCGGGCGGCATGTACAAGACGGTTTGGGTAAGCTCGCGCGTGTACTCCAAAAACAATTCGACGAATTCCGGCCGATGAGGTGCTGCGATCAATTGTCTTCGCATGTACACGACATGTCGACATAGAAGGCTTAAAATACAAAGACTCTGTCAGGCTTTCGCACTTGAACTCTTCACATTTTCATAAGTTGGTTGGGCATGGAAGTCTATTCTTACCAGACATGCTTGTCTTCTTCGGACAGCATTCTGACATTCTAGCCTATTTACCGCACAGTGGCGCCAGTCAGGGTCTGGACCGTGCAGACACCACCGGCCTCGGTGACGAGCTTGCCGGATCCCTCTTTGCCGAGTTCCTTGACAGCGGCGGCGTCAAAGGCGACCTCGAGGCCGGCCGTCGTCGTGAAGCCGGGCTGGATGGTCTCCCAGACCTTCTTCTTGGGGTTCAGCACGCCCTCGGGCTCGCCCTTCCAGCCCTCGAAGAAGACGCGGTCGCCAGCCTTGGCGTCGGCGGGCGGGGCCACGAGCTCGACGGGACCCTTGTGATCGTCGACCTCGCCCTCCTTGAGGCGGGGCGAGGCGGCGAGGACCATGGCCGAGGACTTGATGCCGCGCATCTTGACGGGCTTGAGGTTGCAGACGACGACGACCTTGCGGCCCTGCATCTCCTCGAGGGGGATGAGGCCGTTGAGGCCCGAGCAGACGGTGCGGCAGATCTGGCCCTCGAATTCGGTCGTGTCCTCGCCAGCGGGGTCGCCCATGGCAATGGTCGAGACGAAGAGCGAGTCGGCCTCGGGGTGCTTGATGGCCTTGAGAATGTGGCCGACGCGAAGGTCGATGAGCGAGGGCGACAGGGGCGCGGCGGCGGCGGGCGCCTTGGGGGCCTTGGGGGCCTTTTCCTTCTTCTCCTTCTTGGGCTTGGCGTCACCGGCTCCGACGGCCGCCTTGACCTTGTCCTTGACCTCGGCGGCCTTCTCCTTGGTGCGGTCGACGAGAGTGGCGTCCTTCTTGGCATCGCCGGCGGGCGCAGCAGCAGGAGCGGTACCGGCGGCGGCACCAGTACCAGCACCACCAGCACCACCAGCAGCGGCGGCGGCGGCGGCAGCCTTCTCCTTCTTGATGCGCTCCTTCTCGGCCTTGGCGTCGACGGGGGGCTTGACGTAGCGGACATCGTCGAGGTCGACGGCGACCTTGTCGGTGTCGGTGACAGAGAGCTCAAAGGCGCCCGAGTTCTGCACAAAGTCGAGGTGGCGGACGATGTGGGGGTAGCCCTTCTCGCCGGTGCGCTCGTCGGCGGACCAGGCGGCGACGAGAGGCCGCACGGCAGTGTAGAGGGCGGTGTCGGCGCGGCTGGGCTTGCTGCCAAGGAGGGTGGTGCGAGTGCTGAGGTGCGTGTTGAGGGTCTCGAGGATGGGGCTTAGCTGAGCCGAATCAGGAGCGGGCGTCTTGGACTGCTCCTCAACGCGAGTGGCTGTGGTGAGCCATTGCTGGATCTCGGCCTCCTCGGTGGGCGTGTAGGTGTTGGCAGAGATGGGGTTCATTTTGGTAGTGATGCTCCGAAGGAGACTTGGTCGGAGGACTCGTAGGGGCAACAGCGTGGCGGTAGACAGGATGAGGATGTGGGAGTGAGGACGGTGTTGAGATGGCACTTGGCGGGTCAAAAATTCATTCTGCGGCGGGGTAGTCACTGCCATGGATTGAGTTTCACACCAGAGGCCATACCCCGCCAAACATGTGAGCGGGACCGAGAGGCCGGCCTGAATTCATGGTGCCAGCTGGAATGGACTGGCACCTTCATCTATCCTTGGATGCCAATGGTCACGTATATCTATCTACAAGGAACTTACAAGGGGGTTTAATGGGCAAGACGCGTGCCCCCACAACTGGTCCAGTGACATCGCGCGCCCTTTGCGCGTCGCTCTTCAGCTCTTGCACGTCATTGACTCAATTTGTTCGCGGGATTGGCCCTTGTTCATTTTTGAGTCGCGTTGGAGGGGGGAGCAATCGCACGTACCTTTCATTCCCTAGGCATCTGCCGCCACCCAGTCACTCCCCAGTGTCGCCTCTTCTCCCCAGCATCGTTCTGTATCGGTCCCTTCCAGATTTCTGTTTGGTCGCACCGAATTCTCCCGCCTCATTCTGTCACCACTGCCCTCACTTCTCCCATGCGCTTGACCCCGACTGCCCGCTGACTCCCCCGACGCTGACCTTCAATACCAACTCCCAAAATCAACCGCCCTGAGAGACGTTGTACGATGGCCTCACCCTCCCCTTCCGACGAGGACTCGGTCCTATCTCAGGGCCCAGAGCCCCCAACATCCGAATCCTCACCACCTCCCGAAGATTCTATTGAAGACCTCTCGCCAGAGGCCCAAAAATGGCAACAGGACGAGGAGAAGGCGCGCACCGCCAACGAGCAAGCGGAGAAGAAGAGAAGGGATGCTATTCAGAAGCGGAAGGATAACAAGAAACCTGAAACAAAAGCCGAGCGCGAACAGAAGGCGCGTCAGCTCGATGACCTGTTGCTGAAGAGTGCTGCTTTCAGTGATATCCTGACCAAGAAGACGCAGGTCTTGGGTAAGGTTGGAAGCGGTCTCGATGGAAAAACCTTGGGAGAGCACGATCTGCACATGGCGAAACAGCCCAAGTCTCTCATCAACGGCACGATGAGAGACTACCAACTGGAAGGTCTGACCTGGATGTACGAGATTTGCCAGCAGGGCATGTCGGGAATCCTAGCAGATGAGATGGGTCTAGGTAAACTTCAAGGCTCGCTACGGCATTTTCTGGCACTGACCATATGACAGGCAAGACGGTGCAGGTGATCTCACTCATCGCCCTCCTTCGCGAAGAAGAATTCCTCGGCCCTCATCTGGTGATTGCTCCACTCAGCACATTAAGCAACTGGATCAATGAGTTCAAGAGATGGTGCCCCTCAATCCCAGTTGTTCTCTACCACGGTACTCCCAAGGCGAGACAGGAGATTTGGGCCAAGAGCGTGAAGAAGCACCTCAAAGGTGGACGCCCAACGGAATCCTTCCCGGTTGTGTGCACCTCATATGAAATGGTCTTGGTGGACAAAGCTGCACTTTCCAAAGTCAACTGGGGCTTCATCATCATTGATGAGGGTCACCGCATGAAGAATTTCGACTCGATGCTCTCTCGGGAGCTTCGTACCTTCACTTCAGCGACGAGATTGCTCATTACCGGCACGCCCCTACAGAACAACCTGCGAGAACTTTGGTCGTTGCTTCATTTCCTATTGCCCACTATTTTCAGCAATTGGGACGCCTTTGAGTCGTGGTTCGACTTCAGCGACCTCCAGGACGTTAAAGGGACTTCCGAATTCATTGCTGATCGCGAGAACCAAGAATTGATCAAGAAGATCCATTTAATATTACAACCGTTGCTTCTGCGCCGCGTCAAGGCCGACGTGGCTAAACACCTCCCGAAGAAGCGAGAGTACATTTTGTACGCCCCAATGACCAAGGAGCAGACCGACCTGTACAATGCGATTAGCGACAAGAACATTGATTCGCGGACGTTCCTCGAGAACAGGGTGATCGAGGCGCTCGAAGCGTCGAGACATGGTCCATCTCCTGCCATCACAACCCGCCATCGAACCTCAAAGGCAGGAAGCAAAACGAAAAAGGTGGTGCCAAAAAAGGAGGACGAAAGCCTCGAGGTCTCTCTGCCATTAAGAACGACCCCCCGCAAGGCAAATCAACAACTTCGGACGCAAGCCCGGCCCCGAATGCGTTTACCATGCTCATGACTAAGAAAATTGCGCATATTCCTGCCAAGCAGACCAGAGGTCGCTCCACCAAATCGAAGGCATCCACAAAGCCACCTACTCGCGACGGTTCAACCGCATCGTCCAAGAGGAAAACGCCCCCCACGGCTGAGGTGTCAGTGTCAAAAAGTGCAAAATCAAGTCGAGCTTCCACCCCCGCAGTCGCATCCAAGAGCCTCACCCGCCAGGGCCGCTCGTTGCGACGCACTAGGTATACTGAAGCTGACTCCGATGAGGATAAACTTTCGGACGATGAATTTGAGGCCAAGCTAGCCGACGAGATAGCCGACGATGATGTCAAGGAATCTTCACCTGAGTTGACGCCCGAAGAGGCAGATTTCAAGAGAATGGTTGACGCCGCAAAGCTGGAAATCTCCAGGAAGAAGCTTGGTAATCCACTTATGCAACTGCGTCTTGTTGCCAATAGTCCCCATAACTTCTTCAACCCCTGGGGCCTCGAGAATGGGCCAGAAATTGATGAAAGCATCGTCACTGCCTCTGGCAAGATGCTGCTTCTCGACCGCCTTCTGCCCGCTTTGTTGAAGCGTGGCCACAAGGTGCTCATCTTTTCTCAATTCAAAACGCAGCTCGATATTCTTCATGATTATTGTACTTTCAGGAAGCTCAAGATCTGCCGCATCGATGGAAGCGTATCCCAAGCCGAACGTCAGGAACACATTGATGCCTTCAATAGCGACTCAGACTTCAAGGTCTTCCTGCTTTCAACACGAGCTGGTGGCCAAGGCATCAATCTGACTGCGGCCGACACCGTCATCTTGTTTGATTCCGACTGGAACCCTCAGCAAGATCTCCAAGCTCAAGACAGAGTCCACAGGCTGGGACAAACGAAGCCGGTGGTGATTTTTCGTTTGGCAACTAAAGGCACCGTCGAAGACAGTCTCCTGCTCAGCGTCGAAGCAAAGCGTCGCCTCGAGAAGCTGGTTATCAAAGGCGGCCAGTTCAGAACGATGGGTCAAAAGATCAACAAGGATGAAGACTTGGACGAAGAGAAGCTCAAGGCGCTGTTGCTCAAGGACGGTCATGTGTACGAACAATCTGGCAGTGCCGAGATTTTGAGCGACAAAGACGTTGAGATTCTGTGTGATAGGTATGTTTCCAGGTGATAACCCGGCTTTGTACTTGCTGACAATTCTTCAGGAGCGACTCGGCATATGAACGTGCTGCCATCGGCGATGGTAACGCGGATTCATTCAAGGTTGTTGAAACAGCAGCCACTGGCATCCTTGCAAGCTAAGAGTCTCCACTACCTGCCCTTACTGCCTCGCCGATGACGAACGTCTTGGTTTGGGAGCATGTGGATGGAGGATTAATTATTGTCTGGATACGCCGCTGGTCGGTTAGCAATACTGAGCGCTACACTGTCTACGAATGATGTATTAAGCTGTTATGATCACACATGGAGTTGGCTACCTAGAACATTGCTCAAGCACCTAGTAAAAGCAAAATTTGACACATTGCTGTTATGCACGACGTTGATCGATGTCTTTCTAGCTCGTTCACACGGATGAAGTTCAAGCCTCTCAATGGCAGTGTCTCTCTGGCCTGATCATTATGCCTGCACACAGGAACTAGTAAGATGACGAAGGGCAGCCGCCAGGCATGCTCCGTGTGATGTATTTAAAGTTTGACACACGTTCCTTCAACATGCTTCTATACGTTGTCTAAACATTCAAGCCATTCATACAATATCAGCCCCTCAAGAATGGTAAATTATCAAGTCTGCTGCTCTCCGTCCTTCAGCGCTAGAGGGAGAGATCAAGACCGGCAGAGCCACTGGCACTGGGGTCGACATCAAGACTGGTAGCGGGATCGATGTTCGTTGGGTCGAGGTCGGTATGAGGGTTGAAAGTGATTTTATCACGCGATGCGCGCGAGTTGTAGACAGCGACGTATCGGACCTCGAGCTGCCCCCCCGACAGGGTAGTGTTCAATGGTGTGTCACCACCCGCCAGGGCATTGGGGAAGCCGCCTCCCAACGCCAAGTTGAGAAGGATGAAGTGAGGACGGTGGACCGTCTTTTCCCAGACATCCGATGGCAACTGCGTCTCGTTGATCTGGTGGTACTGCTGCCCATCGATGTACCAGCGCAGGAACTCGGGCGAACTTGTCCTGTCAACCTCGATGGAGTACGTGTGGAAGTTTCCTTCACAGGGGCTGTTGGGGCAGACCATATTGTTGCCCAGTCCGCTGGGTTCGTTACAAACACCGCCCGGGTTGGTGCCGCAATGAAGCGTGCCCCAGCCACGGTTGAGATTGTTAACGTTCTCCATAATGTCGAACTCGCCGATAGAAGGCCAGTTCCTATACAGTCATGCGTCAGGAACCAATGTATGCCACACCAAATCTAGTGACCACCTACCAGTAGTTGCCACGGAAATCAGCGCCCAGAGTCCAAAAGGCAGGCCAGTAGCCGACGCCATTGCTGCCGAGGTCGGGGATCTTCAGATCGGCTTGAATGATCATGATCCTGTCCTTCTTGGCCATGAAGTCGGCTCGCTGAGTCTCGATTCGGGAAGAGGTCCAGGCTCCATCCTTGTCACGGATGGCGGTAATCTGCAGATTACCCTTGCCGTTGAGGTGGACATTCTCAACGTTTTTTGTGTACGTCTGAATCTCCCCTGTACCCCAGTTGGGAGGACCACCTGGGTAGCTGGTGCCGACGTCAAAGATCCAGTTCTTGTCTCGGGGAAGACTGTTACGTCGACCGTTGAAGTCATCGGCCCAGGTCAGCCAGAACCCCGGAATCTTGGGGACAGCTGCCTCTACCCCAGCCAAGAGGCAGAGGGCACCAACAATGACTTGACTAGCAACCATCTTGCTGCTGTCACCGGCGTGTCAGAGACCATGACGCGAAGCGATCTTTGGGTTCTTGAGAATTGACTTACATTCAGTCACGGTAACAGACAGCAGACTACGTGCTGAGAGCGATGATGTAGATCAGGGAGTGAGGAAAACGAGTGACAATTCGACTGAACGAAAGCCGTAATGACTGTAACGAGCCGACAGAGAGTAAAGAGTGGATGGCGCGTGGTTCACTGTGATGATCTCAAAACAACGCCAAGAGGAGAACCACGACATCTTATGAAGAGAGAAGGCTTGGATCGTTTCCGGCATCGGACACGTGAAGGTTTGCTCTCGACCGTGGCATGATTTGTCACTGAAAGGGGTGCCAATGCAACGGAGGGCTTGTCAGCTGTGATGAGGAAACCCAAAATATGCACCTTGAAAATGCGGAAGACACCGTTGTCTCTTTGAGCAGAACAAATGCTGAACTTAAAAGTGATTCAAAGTGAAATGAGATGTTACGATCATAGTTCGATGGGCCATGCAGAGCTGTGTTTCTACAAGTCTTCCCGATGGAAACTTAGGCAGCCCCTTTTGCTAACTTCCGGGACTGCCATAGGCGGATCCACTTTGCGTGGTGTGGCACAAGGTGCTGTGGCTACCTAGCGTAGAGTTGTCAATTAAGGAGTGAAAATCATCGAGTACCCAACGGCCGAACGATTCATCCGCAGTCTGTGTCGGCATCCATGTTTCTACCAAAGGGGAAGAAAATGTCATCGAGAAAGTTTCCAAAGCCTCCGGCGGTGCCCCTGATCCCGTTAGTGTCGTAAACCCTGGATCCTAGAAGAGGTGGTATCGGCGGCCACGAGAAATGAGCTCGTCTACGCGAGGATGTGTACGGCCCATCTTATTGGACGGTCGTCTCCTGTCGCAATGTTTGTAAGTGCTTTGCTGTCGCATCAGATAGTGCTCAGGCCGCTGACTTAAGGTCGGGAAAAAGATGAATGTCAAGCATGAAGGTACCGAGCCAGGAATAAGTTATTTCGGTGACAGGAACACGTGTCGCCATGTTCCATCTGAGCTCATGCGCAAAGTCTTGGAACGTACAATTACGATTCAGAGACGCATATGCAGCCTGGAACTCGTTATCTCATTTTAGCTACTTATTGTCGAAACATTAAGTTCATCTTGATAAGATGCCGACTGCTTGTGAATTCTCCAACCGTGCAGGAGAACAACATCATGTCTTGCGAAGCGATTTGTCAGCGTCGTAGCTCTGTGTAGGATCTATTACCTCTATCGCCGCGCAATTGTGTAGAAGAAGGGCTTACTCATCAGATAGGCATGGATAATTTGGGAAGTTGAGGAGTCTTGGGACACAACTTTCTCAAATAATCATTGATGCCCACGTGCGGGTATTGGTTTGTCTTCAACTCAAAGAAATCTTCCCTGAAGACGTTGAACGTGCCAGACCGTGGCAGACCTGGGGTTTAAGACATAGGCACGATGTTAGAGGCGCTCGTTAGCAAGGTGAAGTCCTACTGTGATGCCTGACAACAGGCGATGGATGCTGATCATTCCATACCATCAACGGAGGCATTCTGTCTCGGTGCGAAACCACTCTGCAACCACTCTCCTATCCTCGAGATTGTGCATTTATCAGCGGCTACAGATGTTGCGAAATAACGAGCTTCTGGTGGACGCGCCCAAAGAGATTCGAAACCGCTGCAGTTCAAGATGCAGCAGTTTGTTGTGAAGTAGCCGTGGGTGTTCAGGGCACCGAGTTCAAAAGATAGATGCCGCGCTGGAAGTCCGACCATGAGATAACTGTCTAGGCAGGCTCACAAACCCGGTCCTTCGTCAGATCGCCTTGATATTGTGATGGGCCGTATCTAAACCCAAAGCATTGAGATAGGGTGCCATGATGTGCCTGTGACCGTCCAAACACCAGAACTCCCGGCGATTCTACGGCCACACGACCAGAAAATGTTTTTCGATCTCACGAGGCGCTGTTAGTGTTCCAGACGACAAGACACAATTATGGCCACGTGAAGACATGCAGGTTTGCGGCACAGCAGGCACACCTGCGGGAGGGTGACAGTGCCAATCAACCACGATGAACCCCGCATTCGCAAAGCTCCCAGCTCATGAACATGAACACGAATGTCCCTCCAAGCCCATGTTTGTCTCTCAATCCAAGGTGGCCGTATGATGATCACTGTGGATCCGATAATTCAGATTTGCCAAAGCGAAGAATCATACGATCCTTCCCGCGCTCACATTTCGCCAACTCATCTTCGCTACCTGCCTCCCTCCGGCGAGGAAGCATGCTCCTAGCCCGGCGCGGCTCGACACGTCGCACGAGATCTTATTCAGCATCAGGTGGCAACAAAAGCATGCCCAACGGGTCATTTGTCGATACTTCTTTTTACAAAATCGATTTCAAGCCAACTACCTAGTCGGTACTCGTAAGGGAAATCAGACATGCCTCCAACGATTGAGAAGGTTAGCTCCATGCTGGGAATCCGTCTCGACAGTAATGTCACCAGCTTTCTGCCTGGTAGCACTGTGACGGGGTGCGTCTATCGTCAGGCTCACATCGTCTCCGCTGAAGCGATTGTCAAGGTTACAACACTCGGGCGGGCAAAGACAAAGGTCGTCGCCGCACCGAGTATCCGTGGGGTGGCCACTGTGTATCGCGGAAGGTCCACACTCGTTGACGAAAAAGATCATGTCCAAACGCTATTCCAGGGACCTCTGCACATCCCCCCTATCGCTTCGACGGATGGGATTGGGCACCAGTGGCCTTTTTCTCTTATCATCCCTCTCCGAACTACAGCCATAAGTGGATCTAACGAGCAAGGCGAGGCAGACCAACCGCCTGAACGTACCGATCAGCAGTCTCTCCCAGCTTCTTTCACGATGAACCGAGCAGGGTTTGGTGCTCGGGACGAAGGGTTTATTGAATACACCATCAAAGCTGAACTGCAGTCGAAACGACAGGGAGCTTCTGAGACGGTCTACGCCACTTTACCAATAATAATTCAGAATAACCATCCTGGGCCTCCTGTCACAAACTTCCAACTTACAAGGTATCGTTTGTACGGTTGGATATCTTCGTATTCGCTTCTTCCGGGCATTAGCGCAGCAAGATCAACCATTTCTCATAAAGCCAAGCTACTTTTCAGTTCCTCCAAGATGCCTGTCTTCGCTGGTCACTTAGAAGTCGACACACCGGCCGTCATTCAGTTGGAAAACCCAAACCCGATGCCGATCCGCTTGCAATTTGTACCAGACCCAAAGGTCATGAAGGACAGCCCAATCGATGGTATACCCCAGAAGATGCAACTCCAGGCGCTCACCATGGAGATTCAAACAGCGACTGAGATCAAGTGCGGTGGCGTCGAGAGTTCGTGGGCGGCGATCAGTCCGAAAACGATACGCGTCTCGGTCTGGTCCTGCCTGGCTTTTGGGCCCGGCACACGGCCACTTTACATTCCGTGCGCCGGCGACGGACCCCCTATTGATGTGGGCCGGAAGGTCAACCTACGTATCGGCCGTACAGGCTTGATGGGCAAGGCGTATCCTCAGGGCGATGTCCATGCATCATTCTCCACACGTCACATCAAATATTCCCACCGCATCAGCTATGAGCTCAGAGCTGTAGTTGCTGGCGAAGTGCTCAAGTTCAAGTGGGACAGCGAGGCGACAGTCCTTCCTCCGGCCAACGATGTGCCACCTGGAGACCCAGATTGGCTACAGACACCTGAAGGGACGCCGTATGAAACAGACGTGGACGAAACGCCCCCTCCTGCTTTCCAGGACGCATGGCTTCGTCCAAGGCAACATAATACTGTGCCCTCCGTGTCTGGATAGCGGCGGTTTGATCGAGTACATAATACGATGAAGTCTGTGTTTCCCATACTGCCAGGGATATTTTCTGACTTTGTTTCTCATATATTGAGTTCCAGCAATCTTTCAGTTAGCTTAGCTTGTGGAGATATTCTGTAGGAACACCAATTTTGAGCTTCCTCATGCATATTTCCCGACAGGGAAGTGCGAGTTTACAGTTGTGTTGAGATTTAAGCGACAATACAATGAATTTGTTACAATGATACATGAATGGGCTTATCCAGAATTCTGTCTGTTTGTTCTTTACAGAAGGCTCCGATGAGCGTGACGCCTCCCAAACACGGTGATGTGATGAGTACGTGAGTGCAACCTAAGTTTGTTGGGTCATGAAGGTTGCAATCCCGCTCTTTCCACACAGTGGGGATGTAGGTCAGTGGTAGACTGTTCGCTTCGCATGCGAAAGGTCCCCGGTTCAATCCCGGGCATCTCCAATTTTTTTGCCGCTCAGATTCACTGAATGTTGATTCAGCAACTTCATTATTCCAGTAGATGTCGTGCAACAATGAACAGACTTAGAGAACAGGTCGAATATTCCAAGATCAGAAATCATGTTGAGTGCTCAGGGTGACGGCCCTTACAAGAGGCTTCGTGCCACAACACAGAATTTAACGCAGAGCTGAGAGTTTCTGAACCTTGATCGGGACATCCTTTGTTCGTTCTTGTCTTCTCTTATCCTACTCTTGTAATCCTGAGGGCTCCGTCTGTCTATGATGGGGCCACGGCGCTGCAGGCAGGGACTTGATCCTGACCATAACCAATCAAACCATTGCATCCAACGTCACCGATACCAAGATGATCATCCACAAAAACTTCCAAGGCTGAAAACTTCACCGGTCGGTGGAGCTCCTCATACAGGTATCAACCACAACTGTGGACGTCGTGCGACCCCCTCCGCCTTGAAGGAAGCCGGTCTCCAAGCCATCTCAGGGCTTGACAGGGCGGAAATCCTCCTTCCGATGCTTTTTTTGCTTTGGGAGGAGCCTCGCCGTTTCAGAAACCAGATGTTCGCCCTGCCAAAGCCAGCCGGTTACCAGCTCTGACGCCTGTTGATGAGGCGACTGCAAGTTCTGATGCTACCAGGTCCTCAAGAGACACAACTGACATCGATGTCTTTAATGTAGTTCTGCAGCAGGCCAGAAACATCCGCCGGAGCGAGCAAGGCTCGGCCGTCACGGCATTCGCTGTCAAGCATCCCAGAAGATTGGTGCTGCGAGTTCCACAGCAGCCTAATGATAAAACTCCAAATGACAAGGAGCGTCATCATGTGGTCAGATCACTGCGATTGACCAAGAGGCGCGCCACACCTTCAGGGGCTCTTCAGCCGGAGTCGCTGCTCAAGCACAGACGAGCAACTCAAAGACCCGGGAGCGGACGAGGGTCACCGCCGGCGAGGGCGAGCGTGTCGTGACTGAAGTCAATGTTTGTGAGCGCTCCTTCGCTGGAGATGGTGTACTCTCCACCCGTGTCAAGCATCGGCAGTTTTGTCGAGGAAGGAATCGATAGGGAGTGATGATGGTTAATTGTTGTCAATTGTTGTCATTCATACCATGGGATGGCGGAGTGTCATGGTCGGCCGTGGTATCCTCTTTGAGCGAAGGGCTGATTTGGAGTTCATTTCGTTACTGCATTGTTGATTAGAATTAGGCAGGACCCAAATCCCACTGAATCTCCTGCTCACCTACGAGATAAATGCTCGCGCTCGATGCCGACAGGTGGGGTATAATCATGATCCTCGCTATCCAAACATGTCGTCATCCTCGTCTTCGTCGTCGCCGCCAGCCCGGCTTCCATCCTCTTCCTCCTCCCGCCTTGTCATCTCTGTGCTGGCGCCAATCTTGCGCACGCCATCCATAACGCCCAGTATGAACCCCCTGCTCTCCGCCAGCTCCATGGCACCGACGCCGCGGAGGCCCATGACGCCGCCGACATCCTTTTCGAGGTCCGCCGTGCTGTTGCGCATCTTGGCGGCACGCACCTCTTGCAGATCGCGCAGCAGGGCCCTCACCTGCGCGGAGGCGGGTATGTCGTCGCTCGCACGCGCGAGAAGCAGTTCGGCCATTTCGAGCCAGTGGTAGGGTAGGGCCCCCGACGGTGCGTCGGCTGTGCAGGAGGAGAGAAAGGGCGGCGAGAGTGTGGTTGTGTCTGTCAGGCGGTGGGCGTTGCCGCGCGCGTCAGCCTTTGTTGGCGGCGGCGGCGGCGGCGAGAAGGCTATGGGGTCTTTGTGCTTTTCGTGGGTGAGGATGGCCTGGAGGGAGTCGGGATGCAGCCATGGCGGGGGCACAATGTTCGCGCGGCGTTGTTTCTTCAGGAGGAGGGCTAGCCAGAGTGGGATCTTGGCACGATATGGTGGGCGTAGAACGGGAGTCGCGCCCTGAGGAGAGCATGGCCAGATCAGCTTCAGGGCGCTGTGAGGTTCAAGGGAGGGGCACCTACACTCAACAGCGGCATGCTCTCGAGGCGTTGTCTGGGAACAATGGTGACGAGCTCCATCTCGCAAAGGAAAGCGACCTCGCTCGGCACGAGGCCTGCTGGAAGTGGTAATGCCATTGTCCAATGCCGTCTGTGCTGGGGGGGTGACAACGTGAAGCTGGTCGAGGCGCTGTCGACGCGACAGCCATCAATCGCGTCGTAGGGGGGTGACCGCGGGGTTCCAAGGCACCTGTCAGGAATTGCTCGGTGTAGACTCGGTGAAGATGGCAGCTTGTCTTAGTCAGCGTCATGGCCGCCGCCATCGTGAGAGTCTTGGTCCCAATACCTCTTGGGGCCCTCCGCGACTGAATTCGAACACACGATCCACCTGGCCCATCTTCGTCTTCTATACCTCAATGTTACTGACGAGTATGCTGTGCGCTAGCAATCGTCGGCAACTCACATCAGCATGATCTGCTTTTGGGCTTGCGGCCGTTCAGGTACGATCTTTGTAAAGCTCGCTGGTGCGCTGGCCAGGGACGAGCCGCGAGCGACCATCCGCCCTGCATTCTTCGTATTCCCTCTCCCCTCCCTTGGTGTCACTCCTGAGGTCACCTCCGCGATGTCAGTTGCCGCGTGTTGACGACTACTCGTCCAAATTCCCCCCCCCCTCTCTCCTCTCAACGATGTCGGCTGTGCCGGTGCTACTACGGTCTGGGACTACTACTATCGTCGTCCCGCTTTCGGCGCCGAGCGAGATCCGCAATTGCAAGCTCCAAACACCTCAAAAGTCGCCTATGCCGAGGACCTCAGCCGATTATCTTTGAGATGTCTTCCACTAAGTGGCGACTGGTGCCGCCATCTCAAGATCCGTCCGACAGGTCCGTCTCGAATTGTACGAGACCAGCCGTGACACCCGGCTGAGCCGTACCGAACTTGGTCTGCGAGTACGATGAAGTGAGGTGATGCTCGCACCTGTGGCTCGTGACAGCTGAAAGCATCCACAAATCGACCCACCCTTCTCACTTGACATCCAAGCGCCGTCGATCGCAGACTTTTCTGGGAGCTGACCTCCCAAGCTTGCGTGCTGATGTGGTGGTCCGAAAAAGATAACTGATCCTCGGACAACCGTGTGCCATGCTGTTTGCGGCCAGGGTTTGACTTGACGTTCCACATTTCCTCAGCCAAGCAAAGTTTCCCCGCAGTCTAGACCACAGCGAGAACTGTCAAGCTTCACTAAGATCGTCGCCTAAGACCGCCGTCCGGTACATGCTATTTCGGTGTTAGACCACATGGTGCTTGTACGGTGTCTTTGGTACGTGGTCGTCCATTGGCATGCTGTCATTCCCCAGCTTTACGGTTGTTGACAAAAGAACAGCATATCTCTCGACCCTGGAGTGCTTTGCTTTCCATGCCTGCGGGCAAATGTGGCGTGTTCGTGTTGCAGAGGGCCAGAAGCCTCCCTTGCACATAGCATAGCACCTCGGGGATGCACCAGTGCTCCCAAAAAATTTCAACACCAAGCCATTTTCAAGCCATTCGAGCCTAGGACTTAACGATGCTCACCAGCTGAATCTGTCCCGCATAATAAAGCGCGGCGCAGGGTCCCTTTGTCTCTCGCTGGCGGACGCCATCCCCATTCGAACCCTGGTCGGAGCCGCATCCAGGGGCTGCGCCATTGCTTTCGCACCAGTCTTCGCTCTCGGACCCTTCCTCTTGTTGTTCCTCGAGGTGAATATGTGCGGTTTTCATTGGAGGAAGCTAGGCGGCCTGACGTCGCCGGAGGCGCAATCCCAGGTGGAGGCTGCGAGTCAACCTGCATGTCAACGGGGAGACGGGTTCACGCCTGGCTCCAGTCGCCAAAGGAGTTTGACCATACCAGTGTCAGAGGACCCCGTGTCAGGACGACGGCCATTATTCACACGAGCTTTTCAAGCTTTGCTGGCGGGTATGCTCACTGCGTTTTCCGTCGCCAGCGACCATCTGTCCCACAGACCCAACGTTGATGTCGTCACTGGTATCTCCTCTCCATCTCAGGAGATATTGCCTTAGACTGAAAGACCAGATCGTGAGCGAACCTAGAGCGGCCGTCTTGAGTTACGTCCGAGGATGACGAACTCTAAGTCGAAATCATCATCACCTCCCTCTTCAACCTCGTCATCCCGTTGAGTGCAGATCTGGTAGGGCGGCGCTACTGAACGTACTAAGACGCTACCGCGCTAGTCCATGCACAACATCAACGACATGGGACCCGAGATCGCAAAGTTTCAAAGCCACTACCAGCCGTCGGCCAACGACGCCATGCCTAGGATGTGCGTAGGTCCACCCAGAACAACGACCTAATGCTCGTCCACCGAGGCGAGCGGCAGCCAATGCCATGCTGCAAACGACCTGATGGCGTTCGCAGCCGAGCTTGAAGCTCCATCGACAGCTCACCCTGAACGGGCTGGCCGACATGATCTTGAGTAAAGGGGTACAGGCCCGATTCGTGCGACGGGTACCTGTGGGAGGTGATGGCGGAATGAGCGGGAGGCATGTTCCATATAAGCCACGACCGCGTCGTCCCCTGATAGTTGTCGAGGCTTCTCCGTTTTCACCAGCTCTCCCTCTCATTTGATCAACACCCAGAAACCAGAGGTCACAATACCAAGTCGTCATCATGAGCGCCCCAGAGTCTCCCGATCAGCGGCACTTCTTCTCTCACCTTTCGAGCAGACAAACCTCTGCTGCTCCTGGCTCTCCCACAGCCGCCGCCCCTCCAGGAGCTCCACCAACCCGTACGACCACCAACCGGCTTCCCATTTTGAAGGCACAGTCAGGAGCACGCAACAATGTCACCGCCGTGGTTGGCGAGTTCGTCGGAACTTTCCTCTTCCTCTTCTTCTCGTTCGCGGGCACGCAGCTTGCCAACACTCCCGCGTCGACGAGCACCGAGCCAAACCATACCGCGCTCATCTTCATTGCTCTCTCCTTTGGCGTATCCCTAACAGCAAACGTTTGGGTCTTCTACCGCATCACAGGCGGCATGTTTAACCCTGTGGTAAGTGTCCTCGTGTGCTCAGATTGACCCATTATAAAGCGGCATGCTTACACGATGACCCCTCTCTTAGGTCACTCTTGCTCTCGTCATCTGCGGTGGCCTCCCCATCACCCGCGCCCTGCTCATCATGCCCACTCAAATCCTTGCCGGTATGAGTGCTGCCGGTGTCATCTCCGCCCTTCTACCCGGGCCTTTGGCCGTTACCAACAGCTTGGGAGGCGGGGCCAACACAGCCCAAGGCCTCTTCATTGAAATGTTCCTCACAGCCCAGCTGGTCTTCACGATTCTCATGCTGGCCGTTGAGAAGCATCGCTCAACCTTCCTGGCCCCTGTTGGCATCGGTGCCTCCTTCTTCCTAGCCGAACTAGTCGGTACGTATCCTCAGATGTCTTCTTTTGGCTCCCGCAGCATCCTGAAGGATCAGAATATGAAGTACTGACACTTTGGTAACAAGGCTGCTACTGGACTGGCGGTGCTCTCAACCCAGCTCGTGCCTTTGGCCCCGCCGTCGCTACCCGCACGTTCCCCAACTACCACTGGATCTACTGGCTGGGCCCCATCATGGGATCTCTGCTGGCTTCAGGCTTCTACCTTCTGTTGAAGGCTATGCAGTACCAGGAGTGCAACCCCGGTCAGGACGCGAGTGGCGCTGATCTCGAGCGCTATGAGGATCGTCACGCCCAGCACCACACGACCACCGAGGAGCCCAAGGTGTAAGCGTGCGGCCGCGAAGCTTATGATGATATCATGTTTGTAAACAGGGTCATGCCAGGCGGGGTATGATGGCGACACCGTCGCATGTCGGGTCGTTGGCGAGGTTAGGTTCGGACATGCCATGAGCTTGACAAAGCGTGAGACACATGTTATGTGTGTAATAATTCGAGGATCGCGGAGTTTCGGGTTGGATTTGGTAGAGAAATACTATCCAGCATTTTTTTTCCTTTCATGACACAAATGCCTTCCAATGATGACGATGATAATGCGGCAATGATGTGAGCGAGCAAAGCTGAAGTATGACATGCGAAACAAGCGGAACTCCACTAACTTCCGTGTCATCATCAGCACACCTCAGACCCCTCCAAGTGCTGTCGCGCTTCTCCAGAACGCTCTCGTCATTCACATGGGAGAAGGTAGATGCCGATGAGCCAGGCGGGCGGTGGGGGGCCCAGGCCATGCACGACAGCTCGTTTCTCATTGGGGGGCGAACAAGCCTTAGAACAAGCTACCATCCCGAGTGCATGAGCTGTAGTGCACCGTCATGCGAAGATCAAGGCGAGCTCGAAATTCACCCCGGGACGGCATTCGGTTCAAAAATAGTCCTGCCGCGCAAATCTTGCCGTCTTCTTGCAAGCCCGAGACTCGGTCGTGCAGAGAGAACACTCCCTTTTTGCAGTGAAGGATTGGGGTCGGGGGACGATCTGGGGGCTAGCGGCACCAGCGGCCGTGTGGAGGATGCAGCTGCAGCAGCTGAGGCTGTGATCGTCAGCGTCCAGGTACATGGCATCTATTTTTGAGTCAGGCTGTCCATTGAGCTTGATTTGGTGAAGATGTGCCTCTGGGAATCGCAACCTGGACCGACATGACGGGTCACACAATGCAACAAGCTTTCATTTGTCGCCGAAGGATCATGACTGAGATTCAGACAGAACATTTCTACCATGGTAAAGACCCGAGAGAGCCCAAGTATAAATTGGCACGATCGAACGAGAATATTACTGCCACAATCAGAAACATCTTCACTTTGCTCTCATTCCAGACTCATCACTTCATTTCCATCAATCACAATTATCATATCATCAATCTCAATTGCAATTGCCAACATGTATCACAAAACCCTTCTCGCTGGCGTGCTAGCCACAATTGCTGGGTTGACTTCCGCCAATGACGCGATCCCAGGCAGTGCTTTCGAAAGTGAGCCAACCCAGCGACACACATACAACATGGATCGCAGTCAACTAACAATCTATAGACAGCGGCCATGAAGCAGCCATCGCCGGTGCCCCTATGTATCACTTTGGTCGCTCGTGGGATCGCAAGCCGTGCTACCCAGAGGCCGGCCAGACTGACGGCGTCAAGACGGACGGCGTTGACTCGGACCTCTGCTTCAGCAGTCAGAACGGCGGCTGTGCCGATCCCGGACCCTGGAACGGCGTCAACTCTCCCGGAAACCCGTTTCCAGTGTATTACACCGTTCGGCAGTGCAACGACAATGAGTGGCGCGTTGCCTACAGCATCTACTATAAGAAGGATTCTGGCCATAAGAACGATTGGGAGAACAGCATTGTCATCTGGAACGGAGACGGTGCCGGCGGCTGGAAGCGGAGCGGTACGCTGCTTGGCTGGCACAGCGGTTGGGATTACCACTCCTGGGGCGACATCCAGAACACCGTGAACAAGTAAGTAAAATCCAGGAGATGTAGATTTTTAAAGCATCTTTGCTGACAAACTCAGCGACGGCGACCTTTTCGACCAGGGAGCGAAGGATCGAAACCATGCCAAGGTTTATCAGGGATTCTACTATCACGCCACGTTCTCGACTCGCAAGACGTCCCTCAACACCTGTGCCAATACTAGGGACGAGTTCCGATCGAACGACTGGTACTTCCTTCCTGACGGCACGTGGCTCCACAACGGAGATCTCATCCAAGGTAGGCTGATAAACGGAAAGAGAACTACCTTGAGCATCAAAGACTAACCCTGACTCCAGATGGCTGGGATTATGGCTCTGCCGACACGAACCCGTCTTCTCTGCGAAATGAAGCGCGCTGGATCTGTAACCGAGGCTGATCAGCTCGGCTCAATGATCAAGAATCAGAGGAAACTTTTCTTTCTGGCTGATTAAGAGGTTGAAATTGTGATGCCAATCAAATACTGCGAATACGACCCAGGATGTACAAGGACCCTTGCGATGCCTTTATTGTTCCAACAACCGCAAAGCTCTTTAGTTTACTATAGAAATTCAATCACGGACTTGACCTTTCAAATCTTGCCGACCATGTGGCAGCAGCACAGCGTAAAAGTCCGTGAACAAGATGCCGATTACCCGAGAGTCTGGGAGATCATGCCATTATGACGCTCACTGGTGGACCGAATCGAATGTCGAGCGATCCTCTGGACGGGACCTTTCGCCACGGCGCGTATTGTCACAGACATTACTGTGCCTCAATTCTCCAGTGCGGGGTCATTCTTGCACGAGAGTGGTCAGTATGAAAAGGCTGTCTTCCCCAGCATTCCACACATTACATCCGAGCACTGTCATCAAGTGATATCCAAAGCGAGGATGAATTCAAGTGCTGACTCTCAGAGACAATTGATTATTGGAGGCGCAGGAGCAGTCGCTGCTCTATTGCTAAGTCTCGGCACAACATGGGCAGTTATCGACTACAACGCTTACATTGCACTGGGACCCGGAGGGCCACCTAACAACTTCTTCGGCTGGGTCATCGTCAACATTGCCGTACGCCCGTTCTGTTCGAGTGCAGCCAGAGCAATTTTTACCGATGACTACCCGAAAAATGGAGCACACAAGGACATCGAGTCCCTTCCGAGAAGACGCGGGCCTCGTGCCAGTGTTGCCGGTCTGGTACCACACCGCCAAGTCACGCAACGGGCCCCAGAAACTATGAGAACGGTGAGCACTGAGCTTACAGCTTTCGAAAGCATCCGTTACGAAAAGGCTGATACCCATCCATAGCCTGTCTTGAACCTTTTCGAGAATGCTGCATCCACAAACCCAGAGATACTTGAGAAGCGGACTTCGAGTTACGAACGACATCATGATGCCCTTTTCGTGGCTCAAAATCTTTTCAAAGAAAGTACTATGGACTTGCCGAAGGCGGCATTCATAGCAAAGGGAGAACTTGGACATCACCATGAAGACTTATCAATGCACCTCTACCTGAGCCCGGCCGATGCGCGTCAGGTGATTGAGAAGGGTTGGGGAGAAAGACATCGTCTTTCTGTTCCTACGAACACCTGGTTTAGACACAGGTACGGAATTGGAGACACGTATCTGATGATCTACGGACCCCGAGATGAAGAAGAAATGGAAGCCTTGAGGATCATTCTTGAGAGCAGCATCCGGTTTATGACTGGAAGAGACGTGAATGTCTTTGAATGGAAGAGCTGAATACGAGGTTTATGATTGATATCTTCTTTGTTCGATTTGTGGCTACGTAATTTAGCTTTGTTGCCATTTGATCTCTAATGGTTTTGTAAGTACACGTAATTCAAGCCGTTCAGAGACTGTATTGATCTACCCACTACAAACTACAGCAAAAGATCGATTACTTTGTCTGTCGTGACGGCCTGTCTGCACGCCATCCTTGAGCTATGCCACAATTGTCAGTCAGATAGCATGAGATGGTTGACACACATTTTGGCACATGATACGTACCTAATTGGTGGAGGAACTCAATCAGAATAGGCATGAGAGTAGAAATAGCGAGAACCTGTCCAAGCGTCCAGCCATCTCTGAAGTTTCCGACGTTTGAAATGTCGAAGAGTTCTGAACGATAAGAACCGTAGAAGTAGAGAGCCACGACAGCTCCAATGCCCAAGAATAAGACGTCCATAATTCCCAAAACATCTGCAAAGGTCCGGTATGTAGGGCTGCTTTGTCGAATGTTGGCTAGAATCCGAAGTTTGTCGAAGTGCACATCAAAGGTCCTTCGGCGTTTCCCGTGTATCAGCGGAATAGGAGAGCCAGTTCCTTTTCTCTGGCGTCTTGCTAGCCAGGAAGCAACTGCACCCATGCTGAAACCTCTGAAACAACAATAGCCTGCTAGAATAGAGGCTGCAATGACCAGAGTTCGTACCGGTAGTGAGTATTGGAAGTTGCAAACGTCATCCCAGAAGCTTTCAAACTTATATGGTCGCTTTCCGTCGTTTGCGTGAAACCAAACCAACATGATCACAAGCGTTACGATGCCCACAGTAAAAGACATGTACATCAGCCACTTTGATAAGATTGTTGGTTTCCGAGCTCGCTTCGTAGGATCCTCATTTCGTCTGGTATCCTCGAGCCTGCGGATGCATGCCCCGAGACGCACAAGCCACAGACAAACGAGATTGGAGTAGAGCAGAATCCAATATTGTAACAGAAGATCTTTGGTCCATACGGTTGGCGTACTCGAGGCGAAGTTATGTGTCAAGATGGCAGCGGGCAGAACCAATGCAAAGACAGCCGCAGAGTCAGAGAAGCCGCTATAGGAAGCTTTGACCGAGTCGTATAATAGCCGCATGATTGGCCTTTTCCCAGTCGGGTGGAAGAAACCTAAGTTGCAGGCCGTATGTCCAGGTGCTGTTCGGTTGCGTTTATTGCGGGTTTGAGACCACCATCGTGCTGCTTCGACCAAGGTGATAACCGAATACAAGAAACCAGCCGCAAGTTGAATAATGTAGAAGATGAAGACCTGTCAAATCTTGAGTCAATATTGCTACATGACAAACGTATAGATGGGCTCAAAACCTACACCAGGGCCATTGACGTCGCCGAGTCGGCCATCGTCAAAATTTAGCTCGCATACGGCCTTTTGACACCGGCGGCTCGGTTCGTTAATGACAAAGCGAAAGTAGGGCGGTTCAAACGGCAGTGTGCTATCTTCCCAGAGGTCCGAGTCCGGTCCAGCCATCGAATCTATCCACTGTTTGCGCTCTTCTCCAAATTGATCACGTAGCAAACGCTCCCATTCGAGAATTTCGCCGTATCGAGCGAATTCGTCGAGGCTCGGTGGCAAAGCTTCTCGGAAATAGCGCTCAATCACATCAGAGTGAAGAGACTGAGGAATCCAAAAAGTGGTGTTCCCATCGCTTCCTGGGAGATCATCGACGTCTTCATAATTAAATAGATCAAACCATGATTGCAGGAAATCTTTCGTGAGATTGCAATCACTGCCAAAAGTCAAGTCAGCGAGGGGTGGAGGAGTCCATGCCGTGAAATTTGTGGCCACATTGCCAGAAGACATTATCTGGATTCGCGGGGAGCCACGCTAAGTGAGAGACGACTCGCCAGTTTGAATCGTCGATGAATTTGATGTCGTGAGCTTTGCAAGGGCGTGAATAAAGGTCATGCCCTTCATTTGCTTTCTCTGGATCCTCTTATTCTGTACGTCCGACTGTGATGTCGAGCCTGATCTAAATCTGTCTGAGGCTGAAGGCGAGCTTTGGGCCCCCAAGCCTTCTTGCGGCGTCGTGAACGAACCGTGTGTCAGACGACAGATTCAGAAAATCAGGCCGGGCTCCCAGCCACCACGAGATGCAGGACTGACGGCGATTGCATCCCAATCAGGAAGAGGCACAATAAGCGAGCTGCACGGGAAGTCCACAGAGATCGATAATTTGGTGTGAAAGCTATCCAAGTGACAACACTTCCTATCTTGGGCCAATGTCTGGTGCAGCCTAGAAAGCCTGTGCCGCGCGAATGCATTTGTGTGCTGAAGCAGGACATTTGGGGGTCGATAACGTCATCTGAATTTTTTGAAATTTAGTGACATCACTGAGGAGTCCGGGGTAATGTAAGTACGGGAAAGGATCATGGGCCCTGTAAACGTTGGGAGCCCCATGATCATTAGAATTTATATGTGAGCGATTTGGGGTTCTTCCGAATGGCGAACTTGTATCGCTACGCCGTGTCAATCAATTTGAGCTTTCGTTATTCAACTAATATAAAGCCCATTAAACCCTCAATTGGCCCTCAGAAAGCAGCCAGCCAGTCATTGCAAACCTACCAAGTCCCACATGTTGCGAACTGATGCAGTAAATATAACAGTTTTGGACATCAACTGAAAACCCTCCTGTCGGAGTACCCAATAATTCATGTTCAGACAGTCGTTGCCTTGAAAGTCTTCCGACGCAGTCTTCAGCATCGCAGGCATCCCACACAGCAAGTTTGGCACCAACTACTTTTCTTGTTGCTGGCCTTGCTGCCGCACCAATGGCACCAACTTGGCTTTGACCCTTCGTCGATCATCTGTCGAGCCAAATTCTGCCGTGTCTCTTTGCTGGTAGTCCCAAGGATGGAGCGAAGAACAGCAGGCTTTGACATGTCGACCTCGAGCCTTGGAAACCAACGAACCCAGGGAATCCATGGGCCGGCAGTGCTGGCGCCCATGATGAGTAGGGGCCCTGCGATGTCCTTTCGCACAAAGATCAGGCTATCTAATCCCCCGATGAAGCTCTGGGGGTGCTCTTCACACCCATTTTGCCGAGCAGCATCCACAATGAAGTCTCGAACCGCCTTTCCAACCTGCCGACTCAGTAGTGGGAAGTCACCCGCCACAGCGAGATCCACGAGTGCGAGTGCCTGGATTAGAACCGGTGTCAGGACCGGCTTCGAACCCTTGTCTTGCCAATGACGAACCGCCTTGACTTGCAGGAATCTCGCAATGCCTAGACTACGAACAAACGGTGCTGCGAAATTTATCGCTATCCCATGGGCACACATGGCTCTACCGAAGAAAGCCAGATCAGGAGGTTCGACGTCAGCGTACTCCTCACGCTGAAAGGCAAAGGGTGCACCACAGCGAATTGCAGTCAGAGTCTCATCCGCCGCAAGAATGAGTTGCTTCTCGGCGCAGACCCGGCGAAGGCGTTTCAAAAGAACTGGGTCAAAGGCGCGACCGCTGTATTGCCCATCAACAATTTCGACGATGATGCCAATGCAGCCGCTTTCCTTTGCGTCCTCTAGCTGTGCTCGAAGGTCACCTTGAGAGCTGGTCGGGTTCAGGAAGAAAGGGTCCGAGCCGCAGTGATGGCCCTTGTCAGGGTTGATCCCAGGCGTTCCCTATACAGTCATCAGCTCATTTCATGTGTTCGCCGTGACGGAACGATTCAACAGCTGACGCTTACCACTGAGCTCGGTGAGTTTGCGGCCGCTGTGTACGAATCGGACAGCAGAGCCCAGCGCGGAGTGCTTGCCTGTCTCTGGTTCCAACCGACTAACTTCAGTACGGTGTGCTCTTCAATCACATCGACTGTAGCGTTGGAACTCTGGGCTAGGATGAATTTCCCGAGCATTAGGATTATTTTAGATGCCAAGACTGGGTTCATGGCCTGTGTACTCGAATTCTGATAGTCGATGGGATAGAAGCCTCTAAAGAACGAGCTATGTACACATGTCAGCTTGTCAAGAGTGGTGACTTAGCAGGAGACTGGTTGAGACATCCTACCTAAATTTGCTTTCGAAATGAGCAAGGAGCTCGTCATACCTCTTCTCGAGCTTGAGGCGATTTGTTACGAATTGATGCCATAATGGATTGGCTGGTGTGATAGCCTGCAATTGATCAAAGCACAAGATGGCGCCCCAAGCACTGTTCAGATCATGGTTAAGCCTTTGCTTTGGTATCCCGGCTGGTAGTGGGGGAGTTGAAAGACTCATTCTGACGTCAAGCAGGCTGATAAACTCCTGGATGTATGTAGTTGGCATATTGTCGGGGAAGGCCGGTTTATAAGCCACGAAAAGCGACGACAAAGCCTTTGGCGTTGCTTAATGAGGCCTCTCAATATGGCCCTGGGCAGAGAGGCCTCACGATGGTAGCATGAAGCGCTGCAGATACATCGCAAGGCCGCATTGGTAGGTTCCAGGGGTGACTCGAAGAAGAACAGGGGTCCGCGATCGCCATCAAGGAATTCATCTCGAACCTGTCACTGAGGTATTGCTCTGCAGTACTATTAGGCGACCTTGCTGTGCACGATCTCATGATCGCGTACAGGAGCTCCAAAACAGTAATGTGAGGGCTGGGGTGCACTGTTCCACATTTGCAGTATCGCAGCCATGCTAGGCACCAGTGGTGCATTCTGTGGATTAAGGAAACTGAAAAGAGTCAAAAGAAATGGCAGGTAACACGTATGACCCACGTGTGATTAGCTGTGCCGTAGACAAGCCCATGGCAGACTCGCCAGTAATGAGGCCACACGCCCGACTTGTCGTTGACTTTGCCTTCAAGGCTGAATCCTTGGCGCCCAATCAGTCATTGGTTTCTGTCCCAACTGTGGCGATGCAAATTGCACGGCCGATGGTGCCAAGTTCGTGGGGCTCAGACGTCGCAATAAACGTGCGGCACAGCGCGGGAGAACTAATGCCCCATAGCCCAGGCTGACGGTCGCCGGTAGGGTGGTTACTTAGACTACGAGTCAAGTTGGGTAAAAAGCCTGAGGTAAGGTAGACGGCCATGGATATTTAACCAAGACTCGATATAGGCCTATTCAGCCTATATATGAAAATAAACTACTTTATGCATCTTATACCTATAGGTCCGCTCTACAGCTTATTATGTATTTCTGATATAATGCCTACCCAGTCCCTAAGACCTAGCTCTACTTCTAGCTATTATAGCTAGATTAGAGCGATAGCCTATACTATAAGCTATTCCCTTCATCTAATTATATAAATCTAAGAATATACTTGAGTAGTAATTTAAAGCAGTTTTGAAATATAGTATACGAAGTATATAGTGATATTATATTTAGATACTAGTAAGTGAGCTCTAATAAGTTATAGAAGTAAGATCGCGATTGAAAACGAATCATACGCGTATAATCACGCCCATAGAACCCTCTCGGCACTTCATTGGCCGCGATTTCTTTACCTCGAGTGATGTTGTTAGCGACTCCTCATTACATGCCTGACGGTTGCTTCCACACTCCGAGAAGAGTTTAGCTACCTACCTATCTTGGGGCTGATGACATGCATGTGATTCGCCATCACCGTAATTGAAATGAGATAATGGCCTCAACCTCGGCAGCTTCACCTTCACCGTACTGCACATCCTTCGATCAAGATTTACTGCACCTCCTTGCACTCTCAATCCGTCTCGCGTCGCTCCAAAATGGCCGGATTGATCAGAGAGGCGTACAGCCAGTTCAAAGACCTGCCCGTCCCAGACACGCTACAAACGGGCCGTACGATCATCATCACCGGCGCCAACGTCGGCTTCGGCCTCGAAGCCGCCCGCCACTTCACACGCCTCCATGCCGACCGCGTCATCATCGCCTGTCGCGACAAGACCAAGGGCGATACCGCCGCCGATTGGATCCGCGCCTCGTTTCCCGATAGCCCTACGAAGCTTAATGTCTGGCTAGTTGATATAAGTGACTTTGCGAGCATCAAGGCCTTTGCGGCGCGGGCTGAGAAGGAGCTGAATCGTGTTGATGTCTTCCTGAGTTCGCAGTATCGCGACGTCGACGTATAGCGAAAGTATGA